ACTTTCCATTGTCCCTTCCTTCCTGATGTTCCAAGATTCTTTATTTTTATTTAAAAAAAAATTTCTATCTGTCTTCAAGTTCACTGATTCTTTCTGCTATCATCCTCTGTCTGCTTCTGTTTTTGGAGGAATATTAGCCCTGAGCTAACTGCTGCCAATCCTTCTCATTTTGCTGAGGAAGACTGGCCCTGAGCTAATATCCATGCCCGTCTTCCTCTACTTTATATGTGGGATGCCTACCACAGCATGGTGTGCCAAGTGGTGCCATGTCTGCACCCCGGATCTGAACCGGTGAACCCCAGGCCACTGAAGTGGAACGTGTGAACCTAACCACTGTGCCACCAGGCCAGCTCCCTCTGTCTGCTTTTGATTCTATCAATTGAGGCGTTTTACTTTTATTTTTTTTTTGGAGAGGGTTATGTTATTTTTCAGTTCTAAAACTTCCATTTTCTTATTTTATGTCTTCTATGTCTTTGCTGATACTTTATTTTGCATTTATTTCAAGCATGCTTCTAACTGACCGTTAAAGTAATTTTATGATAACTGCTTTAAAATCTTTGCCAGATAATTTTAATATCTGTTTCATCTCAAAGTTGGTCTTTGTTTGTTGTCTTTTCTCATTCAAGTCAAGATTTTCCTGGTTCTTTGTATAATGAGTGATTTTTTTAAGTGAAATCTAGACTTTTGAGTTTTGTGTTATGAGACTGAAAATTATTTGAATATATGGGGATTAGAACAAAACAATCTTTTGTTTTACCTGGTCTCATCTGATGCTGCATTCTTTGCCACATGGTGGAGGAAGTCCCGATTCCCCCGTGGCCTCTACTGATTCTTCAAGGGGTTCAGCAGGGTGCTTCACTACTGCTGGCCAAGGGAGGAATTAAAGCTCCCCTCTATGTTTCTGCTAACTTCACGCTGGCTAGGAGGGGAAGGGAACCTCCTTATTGCTCCCCACATGACCTCCGCTGACACCGTGGGAGGAGGTGATCTTTACTTCTGGAAAGTATTGAAAATCTTGGCTTTCAACCTAACCATTTTGGTACCACCTTGGCAGAGAAAGAGAAGGGTGCCTTATTGCCACTGGATGAGGGGGAATTACAGGTTTCCTACAGGTTCTCTAATGACACCAGTGGAGAGAGTATTATTACTGCTGGGGAGGTTTGAAATCTAAGCTCTTTACTGAGTTTTGCTGACAGGGATGGAGTTAGGCTGCAGTTTTATTGTGGTGTGTGGCTGGTATAGAGAAGTTATTGTCTAAAAGTTTTCTGTCTTGCTCAACTGTTCCTTTTCTTGACAATTGGCTAGAAGAGCTGGCTTTTCTTGAAGGTATTGTTGTCTGCATCTATTGGCGTTTATGGGTTGGTATCTGCTGCAACTCCCAGTCAGATTTATTTGAGGAAAAAGAAAGAAAAAGTCAAAAACAGGAATTACCTCTATTTCATTTTTTAAGTCTTGAAGTCTCTAGCTAATCTGTCGTCTCTCCACCTGTCAGAGTTTTCTTGTATTTGCTTTGAACATTACATCCAGAGTTTTTATCTTTACTTACTGGAAAGAATACAGATAAGCATATCTAATCCATCTTGCCCCAGATCTGGAAATCTACAGTAGATTTTAAAATATTGTCTTTATATCTAATGGTTATGCTAAACTAATTTATTAATTTGACTTTTTGTAGATTCTTTTGGAATTTCCATATATATATATATATATATATATATTTACATGTGCCATCTGTGAATAATAAGTATTTAATTTCTTCCTTTTCAATTCTTATTAAATTTAGCTTATTTTTCTGACTTTATTACACCATCTGACCCTCCAGAACAATGTTGAATTAAACTGGTGATAACTGGCATTCTTATCTATTTCCCATTCTCAAGGTGACAGTTTTTAATGTTTCAATAGAGACCATAATATTTATTTTAGAGATTCATGTAGATACTCTCTATCAGATTAAGTATTACCTAGTATAAGATTCCATGGTGGCACAGCAGTTAAGTTCACATGTTCCGCTTCTTGGCAGCCTGGGGTTCGCTGGTTCAAATCCCAGGTGCAGACATGGCACTGCTTGGCACGCTATGCTGTGGTAGGCATCCCACATGTAAGGTAGAGGAAGATAGGCATGAACGTTAGTTCAGGGCCCATCTTCCTCAGCAAAAAAGAGGAGGACTGGCAGTAGTTAGCTCAGGGCTAATCTTCCCCCACCCAAAAAAAAGATTCCATTTTGTTCCTAGTTTACATTTTTTTAATGAATTGATGTTGAATTTTATCAAATGTTTTACTACATCTATCAATATGTAAACATGGTTAATTACAGAGATTGTATTTTGAATGCTAAACTAGCCTTGCATACCTGGAACAATACAAGTTGTCCTATGTTTTTTATATATCAGTAGATTCAGTTTACTAATTTTTGTAAGAGTTATTATATTCATGTTCATAGGTGAAATTAATTTTTTTACTATAACATCATGGTTGCATTTTGGAATTAAAGACATGCTGTTGTCATAAAAAGAATTAAAATTTCTTTTCTGTTGTTTATACACAAGAAGAGTTTGTACAAAATTGATCTTATTCCTTCCTTATATATTTGAAGAATTCACTAATGTGGATTGTCCTTGTGGGGATAATCTTAAGAATAGATTTAAGAAATCTTAGCCTACACAGGTTTTCTAAACTTTCTGCTTGCTGCCTTAAATAATTGTATTTTTGAGGAAATTTTATTCAAATTATTGAACTGATTGGTATAATTTAACTAGTTAATGCATTATAAGAAGATTCAAGAGCTAGTGTGAGATTCACCATATACCTTTTCTCCTACCCCAGTGATAATAGAAACCCATGTGGAGGTGAAGCCTCAGTGTGGATCCATTAATCATTAGAATAAACAAAGACCAACTGCTGATCTGCAACCTATATTAGTAGTGTAATATAAATAAAACATATGTATTTGCTGTGTAAAGAGAATGAAATTTCAGGGATTGTGATTTCATTATAAACTGACAAATACTGTGAAAATTGGTGACAATTTTTTTAAATCTGAGATTTCATATTTTTATTTTGTTTGAACAGAAGCGTTAGATATTTGACTTGAGATTTAAACGTATCAGTCATTACATATGTTGTCATAGATAAATTCCTTAACTTTGTCTTTTACTATTCTTATTACAAACCAGCCTTTCTTTTCTCATAGAGTTTAATTATACGTTGAAATAAAAGCAGCCTTGAAAAATGATAAGAGAAAAGCAATTTAAAATGACTAATACAGTTAGTAATTTCTAAGTGTTTGTTTGCAAACACAGAAGCAATCTTTTTGTAATGTGTGTTTTCTTGAGACTTTCTAGAGATCATTATTTATATTTCTATTTAGGTATGTATTCTCTTGTATCTTGTAGAATTTATGGTTATATCTGTATCTTTGTATTTTACATTTCCTAAGAATGCTAATTTTATCTTATGCACTTTTTATCTTCTCCTCCTACTCCAAAATTTGAATAGTTTTTAAAATTCCTAAGTATCATTTGTTCTATATATCAATGATTAGTAGGAAATGTCTATATTAATCTCTAGTGAGAAATCAACTGGATTATGTCTTTATGATTAGTGGACTCAATTCTGCTGAATATGACCCTCAATTACCTCCTCTGTTGGTAATACTGTTATTAAAGACCTGACTGAGAATCCACATCAAATTCTGATTCCATAATCAATTCTTTATAGATGAAGTCACATGATTCATAGTTGTTTGTATTATAAACAGGATGTTTTCATTATCTGCTTAGTATTGAGATATCTATGTGACTTCACTGACAATAGTGGTGGTATATCCATAAGTATTTTGATGTCTGTTATAAGAGCTATAAAAATTTTTGACCAATTCTTGCTTCTGTAGCATGTCACAAAGCATGTATTACATCTCCATGGGAAATTTATGTTATCCTTCCAAGTATGGGAATAGAAAATAGCTCTGAAATATCTCTTCCCTGATCATTACTACATCAATCATATTGATAAAGATGAAAATGTCATGATTCATTTCTGTACACTTTCTAGCATCCTCCAGAAACTAGTTATGATAGATCATACACTTTTTCTATTAAGGCAAATCAACCAGTTTAGAATTTCACCATCTGCATCTTTCCATCATTGAAAAAAATCAACTTTAATGAATAAATAATAGTGAAGTACTGTTATGAGCCAGGCATCAAACTATACACATTCACATCTACTGTCATTTTTATCCCTCACAAGAGAACTGGGAGTTAGGCATCATTCTGTGCATGCTACAGATAAGGAAATTAGGGCTCCAATAAGTTAAGTGACTTGTCTGGATTCGCTTGGCTTGTAATTCAAACAGGGGTATTTAAACTCACATTATTAGGCAATTACTCTCTTAATTACACTACTAGATGGTAGGTAGTAGTGTGGTGAAGTGATGAAGCTGAGTAATATATCACGTTAGTTTGGTGGTACACAGTCATATAAATCTGATTTGCTCTAATTCATCTAACTGATGTCCCTTTAAATATTTTGCGAGAGTAAGAAACATATATAAATTTCTTCTTCAATTCATTGAAGACATCTAGTTAGAATAAGTTAAAACTTAGAAGAAAGTAAAACCTGTGGCAAGGTGGAGAAGACAGTGGTGAGAGTTTGGAAAGGTTGGTTTGTATCAGTATGTAATAGCAAATTGAATAGAAAGAATGAGTGAAATAAAAATTGATCAAATAAATGGATAGAATGGAAGAATACAAACTGATGGAAAACCAGAGGTTAGATTTGCTTCAGAGAAGAAAAGGAAGCATAAGACAGAACAATTCAGTATGAAAGGAGTTTAATTCAATTATAAAGCCAAAAATGTAATTATAAAGCCATAAATAAGAGTATTACAATTTAATAAGAGAAAACCTAACCACTAGGCTACCACCTCCTAACTCATTAGTGAAAAAGAAATGATTTTAACCTCATATTCTCTGCTCTCGTAAACTCACTTCAACATCTTATGTCTCCTGCTTTTTCCAAGTCCACTCCTATCCCACAGCTTCTGCATGGCTGTCTTGACCTCTTTGTTCCTCAGTGTGTAGATGAGAGGATTCAGCATGGGGGTGATAACATTGTAAAGTACAGACACCATCTTGTCCACAGAAAAAGTGGAGAAAGGACGAGCATAGATGAAAATACAAGGTCCAAAAAAGAGTGTTACCACCATGAGGTGGGAGCCACAGGTAGAGAGTGCCTTTCGCCTTCCCTCTTTGGAGCGAATCTTGACCAGGATAGTGGTGTAGGAAGAAAGCAGCACCACAAAGGAGCTGGTAGAGATCAACCCACTGTTAGATACCATTAGTAATTCAATGATAAATATGTCTGCACAGGCAAGCTTGATCACAGGGGGAATGTCACAAAAGAAGTTGTCCACCTGGTTTGGCCCACAAAAGGGCAGACGGATAGTTAAAATTGTCTGGACAATAGAGTGCACAAATCCTCCCATCCAGGAGGCAGCTACCAAAACACGGCATAATCCTCTACTCATGATAGTAGTATAGTGCAGGGGGCGACAAATTGCAACACAGCGATCATATGCCATCACTGTGAGCAGGAACATCTCAGCCGCCCCTACAAAATGGAGGAAGAAGAGCTGCACGATACATTGGTCATAGGGAATGAGCTTTACGTTAGCAAGAAAGTCAGCCAGAAGCTTAGGGGTAGTTACTGTTGAATAGCATAGGTCCAAGAAAGAGAGATTGCCAAGAAGGAAATACATGGGTGATGAATTCAGATAGTTATCAGAAGCCACTGTGGCCATGATGAGGACATTCCCTACCCAAGTAGACATATAAAAGAAAAGAAATAGTACAAATAGCCCTGCCTCGATAGATGGTGTCTGTGAGAAGCCTGCCAGGACAAATTCTCTCACCACTTCTGTTTGGTTTTTATCCATTTGACCTGGCTCCACCTACATGAAAGAAATTAAATAATGGGCGTTAGTAACATTAAAAATGGATGAGATATTTCTCAGAATATGTAAGAATCTTCTCATTTTAAAAGATTTTTCTTTAGGATACATTCTGATTGATTAGCTGGAAGAAATTATTTTATCCTTAGCTGATATGAATACACATTTAGCAACAAGTTCCAACTTTGAGACAATGAAGTAGCCAAGGTCTTGTGGAGCATAAAGTCACCTGGTCCCAGGCCTTTAACTTCAACTTGATGCATCTCTCTCTTCTATTAGTCAGTATTTTCCTTCTCCTTTTTTACATTAAGTCTTAAGACATATGTTACATTTCCCTGAGAAAATATATGTTTATACATACATCTATATATATGTTTTTAGAATATTAATATCTCAGGGAAATGTAACATATGTCTCAGAGAAATATTTATATTTATATATATATAAATAGATATATATAAATAGATATATATAAACATACATACGTAAGTATATATATACACTATATATATATATATGAATCTTTAGGAGAAAAATAAAACTTGAAGGTAAAATTTAAGATTCCAGTGAGCAGGCATTAGGGTCTATGAAGGTTTTATTTGGGATAGGAAATCACACATATAGATGGATAGTCCGCTATAATAAGCTTGTGCCCTTTTCTATAAAGATAACACTTATGGGGCTCTAATCCTGTACAAATGGTTGGAGGAAGGGTCACATTCCACTTTGGGCTTATTGCTAGTTCACTGACCCTTACTTAGGTTTCCTGAATGCCTGTCCACCTTATTATTGTCTATAATACATTTCTCATCTAAACTCATAGCTAAGGACATTTGGACACAGATTATGCTTTTAATGATTTAAATATAATGACAAAATTGTCATTCATACATTTAGGTGATTCCTGCTTTTTGACTACCCTATCAAATTGGGCAAAAATAAATTATTTCTCTCAGATAAAAGAATTAACAATACAGGGAGTATGTGTATGTTTGTGTATTTTATCCATTCATATGAGCAATGGCTGGAAGGTGCTGCTGCATGAGACGAAATGGGTGATAGTCCATTGAGGACTGTGGGGCTCATGATAGCTGCTATTGACTCAAATTCCACAGTTCTACCACACAAAGAGCTATATTTTGAGGAATTAAGACATAATAATTTAAAGTTTAGATATTGGTGAATTTTCTTTATTTTATCACAGTTTATGCCTCCTCTAAATCTGTGAACTGAATATCTTCCTCTAAGCAATATAGTAAGAATAAAAGTTTTGAAAAGGAAAATTAACTTTAAACTAAATAAAAGTTAGTTTAAATAAAACAATAAATTTTGCATATTTATTAATTAAGGCAATTATATAAGTAGAAATCTTAATTATATGCTCTCTAACAATTGAAAATATCAAGAAACAAGATGAAGAGAAACCCCAAAATTTAAATATTATTTTGTTAAAATGATGTTTGCAAAAGATTCATTAACCTGAGGAAATGATTAAATAATAAAGGGAAGAAAGACACAAACGTATATTCAAAATGTAAAATCTATAAACATAGAAAAGTCAAACCATATAAGCAACAAAAGGAAAAGACAAAATATTTATGTGTTGACTTTGACTATTGGGATGTTCTTTTTACTGATGTGATAGGTTCTAATTTTCTACAATGAACTCAATTATATTTATACTAAATATATAAATTTGCTATGTATTTATATGGCTATACACATCTACACTCATATGACTTACTATTTTATTTTTATATGAGAAAATGAAACATTTGGAATTCGTTATCTCCCGGCAATTTGGTTACGACTTACAGTTACTAAACTTTGGGTAAGAATTTCCTTTAATTATAATCCATGTAATATTTTTTAGAGTAATAGTTGTTGTCTAGGTATAACATCAAACGACCTCATATTTGTTAAAAACAAGTTCTTAACAATGGATTTCTTTTGCAAGAAATATTTCAGTATTTATTTAATTTTTCATGTTTTAAATTTCCTTCTGGTTACAAAAATGGTGAATGCTTATTACTGAAATATGGAAACATGAAAAAAATAATCATCCTCAGAGTACCAAGAGGCAAATACTATTAACTTTAACTAGTCGTATACTCTTAAACCTTTTTAAAATGCATTGGTTGATTTATATAGTAGATATAATATTATATATGTAGTAGGATATACTACTGTAAAATACCACAATTACTGTTAAGTACTGACGTGCACGTGAGTTAAGATGACAGGAGCATATGAACGTCTTTCAGTATACTAGGCTTTAAGTCAAATTACATGCCTTCTGTCTGTAAAGTATGGATACTTAAGTCCTGCAGTCACAGGTGCCTGGCGTGCTGACGCAGAATCCACACTACGCACTATAGAGCCAAGAAGATAAATAAATTAGATGGAACCCCCTTGGTACACTGGCCATCATTAGGAAATTTTGATGTTTAGAGATTTAGGGATTTAGTTACTCATAGTCGAATCACAAAGGGAATCATTAAAAAATTTTAATCAAAACTTTTTGCCAGAAAATATGGAACACAGAAATATGTGTCATGGTGGTAGCAGGATGTGAGCGTAAAAACAATGGAAAGGCAAAAGAAAAAAAGAAAAAAGATAAGATTGTTGCAATAACGTCAGCTGATTATACTGAGAGCTGAGTGTTCCCAGAACGGGGGTTGATGGGAAGGATAATGAAAGATTAAGGAAAGTGCGGTTGCAGGTGCCTCGCCAAAAACAGTATAGCTTTGCTTGCACTGCTTTCTTCATATGGAGTGCCTTCTCTAATTGGAATTTTTCACTTTAGATTTTATCTTATTTTATTTTTTGAGATTATAGAAAAATGTAAAGTAAGAATAACAGTCTCCCCTTTCTTCCAGTGCCACCTCTGTGTCATGGGTGGTGGGGGGGGGGCTGGAGAGAGAAAGAGAGAGAGGGAAGAAAGAGAGAAAGAAAGAGAGAGAGAAGAAAGAAGAGAGAAAAGGGGAAAGAGAGATTCATGGATATATTTCCATGTACTGTATGAAGCTCTAGTTCTTTTTTTAATTGATACATATTTTAAAAACTTGGGTAGGCTATAATGAAATAAGTACTGTATTTATGCGCATGTAAATCGTCTGTTTTATCACTATTATAAATAGCACCGCAATGAACAACACTGAATTTTGTTCACACTTCCTTAGACATTTATTGATTATTTGTAGGGCATAGAGGCCTGAAAGTGAAATTTCTGACACAAATATTGACGGATATTTTTCTCCCAAAAAAGCTGTACTAATTTACACTCCCATGAACAATATACATATTATTCTCACGCTCTTTCCAACACTGGATAATGGCAGCCTTTATTGTCATTTCATTTTAATTTTGCAAATATAATGAGTAAAAATGATAGCCTGTTAACTTAATTTGCATTTTCCTCATCAGTAGTGTGAATGTACTTTTTTTCAGGCTTTTACTAGTTACATATTTTTTCTCCTGAAAATTTCAAGATTATTGTGGCAACTTTGCTAAACTCACTTAACATAGTTATTGCATTGAATCTGTAGGCCAAGTGGGACAACATGGACATCTTAAGAATACTGTCTTCCAATCTTTGAACACAGGATTTCTTTCCATTTATCTGTGTCTTTAATTTTTTCGTCAATATTTTATAGTTGTTGGTGTACAAGCGTTTCACCTCCTTGGTTAGATACGTTCCTAAATATTTTATTCTTTTTGAAGCTATTGTAACCAAAATAGATTTCTTAATTTCCTTTTTCTACTGTTCATTGCTAGTGTAGAAGATTGCAACTGATTTTTGTGTGTTGATTTTTTATTCTGCAAGTTTGCTGAGTTTATTAGTATTAACAGTTCTTTTGGTGGAGCCTTTAGGGTTTTGTACATAAAAGATCATATTGTCTACAAAGAGATAATTTTAATTCTTCCTTTCCTATTTGGGTAGTTTTTATCTGTTTTTCTTGCATAATTGCTCTGGCTAGGACTTCTAATATTGTGTTGAGTAGAAGTGGTGAGAGTGGGCATTCTTGCCTTACTCCTGATCTAAAAGAAAAACTTTCAGTCTTTCATTATTGAGTGTAATGTCAGCTGTGAGCTTTATTACACTGAGGTAATTTACTTCTATTCCTAGGTTTTTGAGTGTGTTTCTCACGAAAGGTGGTATTATTTTGCCAAAAGCTTTTTCAGCATCAATTGAAAGAATCATTTTTTTTTGTTGTTCTTCACTCTGTGAATATGGTATCTTACATTGATTGGTTTTCATATATTAAAGCACCCTTGTATTTCAGGAATAAATTCCATCTGGTCATGGTATATAGTTCTTTTAATGTGCTGTTGAATTCAATTTGATAGCATTTTGTTGAGATTTTTGCTTCACTATCCATCAAAGATATAGGTCTGTAATTTTCTTATAGTGTTTTTGTTGGGCTTTACTGTCAAGGTAATATGGGCATCACAAACTGAGCTTGGAAGTGCTCCTTCCTCTTCGACTTGTGAGAAGTGCTTCAGAAGGATTCATGCTAATTATTTAAATGTTTGGGATAATTGTCCACCGAATCCATCTGGACCTGGGCTTTTCTTTGTTGTGAGGTTTTTGATTAGTGATTCAATCTCCTTGCTCATTATTGGACTGTTCATGTTTTCTATTTTCATGATTAGGTCTTAGCAGATTGTGTGTTTTTAGGATTTAATCCATTTCTTCTAGGTTATCCAACTTGTTGGTATGCAATTGTTCAGAGTATTCTCTAATGATGCTTTTATCTTGGTGGCATTGGTAGTAATGTTCCCCCTTTGACATTTGATTTTAGTTATTTGAGGATTTTCTCTTTTTTCTTAATTAATCTAGCTAAGGATTTGTCAAATTTGTTGATCTTTTCAAAAGCCAACTCTCAACTTCACTGACTTTTTTCCCTTGTTTTTCTACTTTTTATTTAGTTTCTATCTGGTCTATTCTTTATTATTTCCTCCCTTTGGCTACCTTTGGGTTT